CAAATCAATAAACCTGCTGCAAACTAAAGTGTGTGATTGTGTACATGAGAGTTACAGAGTGTAGAGTGTGGACACGGGTTTGAGCGGCACACGGAGGTGAGTCTGGAGCAGGTCTGTGAGCAGAGGCTGGACGGACAGACGGGCGGATGTTTGATGGAGCAGTCAGGTAAATGGATGGTGGTTGGATGACGGTCCCTAGCAGACTGTGGTCACGAGCTGTGACCTCAGCGCCCACAGTGCAGTGTGCTTGTGTGGGCAGCAGCAGCTGTGACGTCGTCGGTGAGCTCGGCTTTCAGATTGTGTGAAAGTAAAAGTGGAACATCTGGAACAGCTGGACGCACGTTTAACCCCACTCTGCTCTGAAGCCTGAGCAGGAAGCGGGGTCCATCTCTCTGAGCTGTGGCTTAAATTCTGTTGTTGTCGCGTTTAACTATGGCACCGGGGCAGGAGGAGGAAACCACGTCCACATGTGCAGCTTCTCTGCAGAATCACTTTCACTGTGTCGAGTCCATTTACATAATAATGTGAGGGACCATGAGAGTGCTGCACAGGTGTGACTGATTTCCCTCAGTGATGCATGCAGGAGAAGAAGACATCATCATCGGACTGTCGGAGCTTCAGAGGATGAAACTGTGCAGAAATCTCGCAGAGCTGTTCGTTTCTAACAGAAGCAATAAAAATCCCTCACATGGTTTTACTTTGATTATTTTTGGTCCGTTATTTGTTCTGAAATGTTAAATCTGCTCCGTGAACACACAGACGTCACACTCAGCAGATATCTGTCCCATAAAGCATGAAGATAAACCTGTGTCCAACATTAAATCATAACCAGGCTTAAAGTTAGCTTTATTAGGGGCGTGGCCTCTGTGAGTGACAGGTGGATGGTGACACAGGTGTGCTGTAGCTGCTAGCTGTCTGCTAGCTTCACCTGAACTGGACCTCTGCACGTGTTTGTGCTGGTGGAGCCTTTTAATGACGTCATGTGACCAATAACACGGCTGCTGTGAGGTCACTGTGGTAACAGAGCGTC